CAAATTAACAATTTCTATGTTGGATTCACATCTCCATCTCAACCAAAAATCGAAGTTAAAGAATAGGACTAAATCAAATCAAACTTTAAATGCACTTTAAATAAAGTTTGATTTAGATTTAGTTGTTGTATAAATACAAAATATCTGACATTGTATTCCCATTTGAACTTTGTTGTGCTTTTAAATGCTTGAAAGCGCAGTGATAACACACTTAGATGACAACTAAACCAAAAAATCTGACATTGTTTTGAATTTGGTTGTGCTTTTAGATGGTTGATAGCATAGTGATTCATATCCAATTACGATCTTGTCTCATCGCTGCAACTCCCCAACGGGCTCGGGAGTGGCGAAGGTCAAGTCATGCGTCCTCCGAAACATGACCCGCCAAACCGCGCTCCTTAACCCAGCACGCTTAGCCCGGAAGCCAGCCGCACCAATGTGTCGGAGGAAACACCATTCAACTGATGATTGAAGTCAGCTTGCAGGTGCCCGGCCCGCCACAAGGAGTCTGCTAGAGTGCGATGAGACAAGTAAAGCCAGTCGGGAGGCAGCATAGTGATAATGCAACAAACTCCTGGCTTTTTTTTGAGTGGATGAATAAAGGTTGAATTCTCATTGATCAACGTCTCAACCAAATATTACCCAAATTTCCACGTTGAAATTAGGTGGTGTGCCCAGTGGGCAGTGTCGAACTGTAGACTAATTTATGCATGTGAGACGAGTCTCTAACATGTCAATAGGATAAATGACCCTGAAACCTGAGACAGAGAACAGTCTTTTGTCAGGCTTTGGTTTCTGTAAGAACTCCGCTTTCCATGGTGGCGTTACTAGGTTACCACTGTTTTCCCTCTGTGTGCTCCCCAAGCCTCGGTTATTCCAGCTTTTCTGCTAGGGTGCTGCTCTGTGGGCTGAATAAGGGAGAAGGAAACAAGGAGAACAGACAGGAAACTGATCCTGACATCCACATTTCATCCCCATGATCAAGGTCAAAGTTGACAGTCATGCACCTGATGGGAGTAATAGAGAACGTGAGGAGGTGAGGGACAGGGTTTCAGATGTGTGAGCATGTGAGCGCACAAACTATTTCACAATTACCGCTAACCTGGAATCTGACCAATTACCTGTGTGGTCTAGAATTACAGACATATGTAAGAGACAGTAAGCTTTCAGTTGATAACTGTTATGTCTGTCTCTGTGCTTTCATCCCCCCCAACCCAAACACACTAACACAGACACACAATGCAAGAGGACTCTGCCATGAGAAGCCCATTTGATGAGAATCAGCTGCCAGTGAGGCAGCAGGGATGAGAACAACCAGAACATCAACAACAACAACAACAACAACAACAACAACAACAACAACAACAACAACAACAACAGAGGCAGTGAGCAGTAAGTCAGCTCAGTCGAGATTCTGTCAGAACGCACCCTCGCCCCAGCCTCCCTGTGGGAACACGACCAGTATTGATTGGGGACTCAATTACAGTGGAATGTCTGCCACAGCACACGCTATGACTACGGAGAGCCGGGAAGCAAATCATTCAATATATCCTCTCAACAGCCACCTCATTCACTGACCAAACCTCGCTATTTCTTTTTGTGTTCATTAGACAAAAACAGTTCCCTGTGAAACCCATATGGAGACACTTGACCTCATTGGACATTCTTAACCCAATTTGAACTCTGCTGATGTCATCATATCTGCCTGGCTGGCTGGGACAATAACAGAGGACATGTTTAAGCTTGGCCACTACAACACTGCTCTCTAGTGGTCCATGTCCCTTAAGGAGTATGGATTATGGTAGTCACAGACTACTAGTCAGCTGTGCTCATTGCTGTTGAGTGTAGAGTTGATCTTAATACAGTATTAGATAAAAACTTTTACTAACTGTTGATACCCTATTCCATAGCGATGTGAATATTTAGATACCACGTGTCAAAGTAAAAAGGAAAGTGATGCCTCATTCTCAGGTAATGTGGTCCTGTGATAATGTGGTCCTCTGTAGCTGTGTTGTCCTCTGTAGCTGTGTTGTCCTCTGTAGCTGTGTGGTCCTCTGTAGCTGTGTGGTCCTCTGTAGCTGTGTTGTCCTCTGTAGCTGTGTTGTCCCCTGTAGCTGTGTTGTCCTCTGTAGCTGTGTGGTCCTCTGTAGCTGTGTTGTCCTCTGTAGCGGTGTTGTCCTCTGTAGCTGTGTTGTCCTCTGTAGCTCAGTTGGTAGAGCATGGCTCTTGCAATAGCAGGATAGTGGGTTTGATTCCTGGGACCACCCATATGCAAAAAATGTAAGTCTGTAAATCGCTTTGGATAAAAGTGTCTGCTAAATGGCATGTATTAATATGGGATTCCTAAAGGAAGACCTCTGTAGAGCAAATACCTGTGGATGCTTAAAATGTTGCTATGGTTTTATGCATAGTGCAACTGTGTAACAATATGGGAAAGTTTGGTGTAATGAATGTTGTCACCTTGGGTGACCTGAAGGAATGTTTTGTATTTTTTCACATGGATACCAGACACATCCTCTAGGTGGCAGTGTTTCTCCATAATGTGGGGTGGGGAGCAGAGACAGCATTAGTACAGTATGAGAAGAGGTTATTCACCTGTCCAAACTCATGTGATGATTGAATTTAAAGCCTTGTTGTTTTGTCTCTTAGATGCAAAGAACTCTGATAAAGTGATATATGATGCCTGCCTACATACCATGAGAGGGTTAATCCAATCTATAAGAACAGCTAATACAGAGACACAATGTAAGAACTGTCTCAGGACAGATAACACAGCAAAGATATGTTTCTTTTTCTGGTAACACATAAGCAACCACACAAGCTACGGTATTTGTCAGTAAGTGAATTGGGTCAAACAGGAGAGGGGTATGGTGCGCGGAGGGGCGGGGGAGGGTTCAGTGAATTGAAACTGTAAAGAGGTCAGCAGAGTGGCTGTGCCCCAGTGTCTCGGTGCCCTACTCTCCACAGCGCTTGGCTGGGCTCCAGCCGCCAGGCTCCAAGCCTCAGGCTCCAGGCTGCAGCCCCAGAGGGCTAGAGAAGAGACCCTTCTCTCAGTGGTCCCCGGTGGGGGGTCAGCAGGTACATTAGGAAGGGAGGAGGAGGCCCCATCGGCTCTTCTGCACGGTTCACAGAGCCTGAATGGCCACCAGGCCTGGGGCCTTTGATAGTGCCACACAGAGGGCCCACAGGAGCCCCAGTGAACCCCCTCCGTCTCTCCCTAGCCCACAACAAACCAACATGGCAAAGCTCAGACGGACACAAATGTTCCGGACGTGCATTTCTCATCTCTAATGACCCACTGTCATAGAAACATAAGCATCCTTTATTAATGGCGCTTCTGCCTCATGGATGTTGGTTCAGATAAGATCTACTTATTCAACCATTCTATCAAAATATATCCCCCATTCTATTCCACTATGAGAAAGAGCACATTCTATGTACACTGCTCAAAAAAATTAAGGGAACACTTAAACAACACAATGTAACTCCAAGTCTATCACACTTCTGTGAAATCAAACTGTCCACTTAGGAAGCAACACTGATTGACAATACATTTCACATGCTGTTGTGCAAATGGAATAGACAACAGGTGGAAATTATAGGCAATTAGCAAGACACCCCCAATAAAGGACTGGTTTTGCAGGTGGTGACCACAGACCACTTCTCAGTTCCTATGCTTCCTGGCTGATGTTTTGGTCACTTTTGAATGCTGGCGGTGCTTTCACTCTAGTGGTAGCATGAGACGGAGTCTACAACCCACACAAGTGGCTCAAGTAGTGCAGCTCATCCAGGATGGCACATCAATGCGAGCTGTGGCAAGAAGGTTTGCTGTGTCTGTCAGCGTAGTGTCCAGAGCATGGAGGCGCTACCAGGAGACAGGCCAGTACATCAAAGTTGGATCAGCCTGTAGTGTGGTTTTCCACTTTCATTTTGAGGGTGACTCCAAATCCAGACCTCCATGGGTTGATAAATTTGATTTCCATTGATAATTTTTGTGTGATTTTGTTGTCAGCACATTTAACTATGTAAAGAAAAAAGTATTTAATAAGATTATTTCATTCATTCAGATCTAGGATGTGTTATTTTAGTGTTCCCTTGATTTTTTTGAGCAGTGTACATCCATGCGGATGTCTGTTGATCAGGGTTTTGGTCAATCCATTTAATTTCCAGTCAATTCAGAAAGCATTGAAGAAAATTGGAATTTTGGTTTACTTCCTGAATTGACTGGAATTAAAACTGAATCGACCCCCAACCCTGCTGTTTACATTTTTGTCATTTAGCAGACGCTTTTACCCAGAGCGACTTACAGTTGGGGGTGGGGGGTCAAGGACAGAAAAGAGCTTGGAGTGGGCTGAGCAGGAGCTGCCCTCCCATTGGAAAGGAAAGGAAAGAAGAGGAAAGGAGAGGAAAGGAAAGGAGAGGAAAGGAAAGGAAAGGAAAGGAAAGGAAAGGAAAGGAAAGGAAAGGAAAGGAAAGGAAAGGAAAGGAAAGGAAAGGAAAGGAAAGGAAAGGAAAGGAAAGGAAAGGTAAAGGGGGATACCTAGTCAGTTATACAACTGAGTGCATTCAACTGAAATGTGTCTTCCGCATTTAACACAACGTCTCTGAATCAGAGAGGTGCGGGGGGCTGCCTTAATCGACAACCGGTGGGAGGGCCAATGTGGGTTGATACAGTATTAGTTATAGACAACCACTAAACAAACAAATTATCACACACAATAATGGAGTGGATTGAATGCTTTTGGTATTATACAAAATGTGGTTTCCATGGTTCCAGTTTAGAGGAGACCACACCAACCCCTACCAGCACTCCCAGCCCAAAGCGATTCAAAAAACACTCTCCACTGGCTCCAACCCTCCTTCACGGCCAGTGAATTCAACAAGGATAGAAAAAATCCCAGTTCAATTGGCTGGAAAGTGGGACAAAACAGAGGCCTAAATGTGATAGTGGGGGAGCCCAGTTCCAGCCCAAGAGTCCTAGGTGAATGGGGTCTCTCTTCCTACTCCACAGCAGAGAAGGGGAAGCTGTTCTGCACCAGGGCCAGAGGGGGGGACCAGCCCAGAACACTCAAGGAGAGCTGGTCAGAATGGGAGGTCAGATAAGTACACCAAACTGTTTACACTGTGGTCTATGCTGTATGGGCTTTCTATCCGGCTCAACAGTAACCAGGACGACCAACGTTATTATAGGACAGAGTGGCAGGGTACGTGGCAGAGTGTGAGTGTGTGTGTGTGTGTGTGTGTGTGTGTGTGTGTGTGTGTGTGTGTGTGTGTGTGTGTGTGTGTACGAGCACCCTTGTGTGCGTGTGCTTCAATGTGCGTTTCTACATGTGTGTAGAAACGGTCCAGGGCCATGCTCCCAATATCCATGGCATCCAAATGTCTACAGGCCCCCTGGTTTAACTCAGTATCCCCATGCACCCTCGCTGGTTTGACTCCTCTTACACCAGACATTCGAGGACTCTTCTAGGTCCTCAAAACCAGAACCAATGCCCTCAGATGTCAATAAGGGCTTATATTGAGGAGCTTGACCAGGAGATTTGATTGCTTTTGAACCTGGTTGAATGTGCTTTTATGTTATCATCAACTACATTAATTTCCCGTAATGGGATAGGAAAGGGTCATGTGACTTGCCTTAATGTGTAATGACGTCACAACTCATGTGTTAAAGATTCAAAATAACCTTTCTCTTTTAATGGGCAACAAGACCTGTAAAGAGAACGTACCAGAAAGGCTAAGCCCATTAAGTGTGACAGACACAGATGTAGACCAATAGAAAGAGTCCATTCCTACCTCTCCACCACGTCCTCCCCGTTCCAGCAGGTGAAGTCATCCACCACCATCTCACTCTCACAGAGCATCTCTGGCAAGGCAGAGAAGAAGGACCTGTAGCGCTGGATATAGCCCATAAACTCTCTGAGGTAGAGGAGAGAGCGAGGAAGAGGGAGAGAGAGAGAGGAGAGGGGAGAGGGGAGAGCGAGAGAGGGTGGGGGGCGCTGATCATAACCACAATATCATAGAATCGAATGTACTGTATATTTATTGAGGTGCCTTCAGAAAGTATTCACACCCCTTGACTTTTTCCACATTTTGTTGTGTTACAAAGTAGGATTAAAATGGATTTAATTGTCATTCTTTTAGTCAATGATCTACACAAAATACTCTGTAATGTCAAAGTAGAAAAAATATATAATATATAATAATAATAATAATAATAATAATAATAATGGAAAATAAAACACTAATATATCTTGATTAGATAAGTATTCCACCCCCTGAGTCAATACATGTTAGAATCACCTTTGGCAGCGATTACAGCTTTTAGTTTTTCTGGTTAAGTCTCTAAGAGCTTTGCACACCTGGATTGTAAAATATTTGCCCATTATTCTTTAAAAAATTCTTCAAGCTCTGTCAAGTTGGATGTTGATCATTGCTAGACAGCCATTTCCAAGTCTTGCCATAGATTTTCAATTCCAAGTCTTGCCATAGATTTTCAAGCCGATTTAAGTAAAAACTGTAACTACGTCACTCAGGAACATTCAATGTCATCTTGGTAAGCAACTCCAGTGTATATTTGGCCTTGTGTTTTAGGTAATTTGTCTCCCAGTGTCTGGTGGAAAGCAGACTGAACCAAGTTTTCCTCTAGGATTTTGCCTGTGCTTAGCTCTATTCCTTTTTATCCTAAAGAACGTCCTAGTCCTTGCCGATGACAAGCATACCCATAACATGATGCAACCATCACGATGCTTTAAAATATGAAGTGGTACTCAGTGATGTGTTGGATTTGCCCCAACTATAACGCTTTGTATTCAGGACAAAAAGTTCATTTCTTTGCCACATTTGTTGCAGTATTACTTTAGTGCCTTATTGCAAACAGGATGCATGTTTCGAAATATTTGTATTCTGTATAGGCTTCTTTCTTTTCACTCTGTCATTTATGTTAGTATTGTGGAGTAACTACAATGTTATTGATCCATCCTCAGTTACAGTGCATTCGGAAAGTATTCAGACCCCTTGACTTTTTCCACATTTTGTTATGTTACAGCCTTATTCTAAAATGGATTCAATTCCCCCCCCCCTCATCAATCTACACACATCACCCCATAATGACAAAGCAAAAACAGGTTTTTATTTGCAAATGTATTAAAAATAAAAAACTTAAATATCACATCTACATACGTATTCAGACCCTTTACGCAGTACTTTGTTGAAGCACCTTTGGCAGCGATTACAGACTTGAGTCTTCTTGGGTATGACACTACAAGCTTGGCACACCTGTATTTGGGGAGTTTCTCCCATTCTTCTCTACAGATCCTCTCAAGCTCTGTCAGGTTGGATGGGGAGCGTCGCTGCACAGCTATTTTCAGGTCTCTCCAGAGATGTTTGATCGGGTTCAAGTCCAGGCTCTGGCTGGGCCACTCAAGGACATTCAGAGACTTGTCCCGAAGCCACTCCTGCGTTGTCTTGGCTGTGTGCTTAGGCTCATTGTCCTGTTGGAAGGTGAACCTTCGCCCCAGTCTGAGGTCCTGAGCACTCTGGAGCAGGTTTTCATCAAGGATCTCTCTGTACTTTGCTCCGTTCATTTTTCCCTCGAGCCTGACTAGTCTCCCAGTCCCTGCCGCTGAAAAACATCCCCACAGCATGATGCTGCCACCACCATGCTTCACTGTAGGGATGGTGCCAGGTTTCCTCCAGGCCAAAGAGTTCAATCTTGGTTTCATCAGACCAGAGAATCTTGTTTCTCATGGTCTGAGAGTCCTTTAGGTGCCTTTTGGCAAACACCAAGCGGGTTGTCATGTGCCTTTTACTGAGGAGTGTCTTCCGCCTGGCCACTCTACCATAAAGGTGTGATTGGTGGTGCTGCAGAGATGGTTGTCCTTCTGGAAGGTTCTCCAAAGGAACTCTGGAGCTGACCATCGGGTTCTTGGTCACCTTGGTCACAATTTCGAGAATCATTGCAAAGGGTCTGAATACTTACGTAAATAAGGTATTTCTGTTTTTTATTTTTAATACATTTCCAAACATTTCTAAAAACCTGTTTTCACTTTCCCATTATGGGGTATTGTGTGTAGATTGTTGAGGGGAAAAAAATATTTAATCAATTTTAGAATAAGGCTGTAACGTAACAAAATGTGGAAAAAGTTAAGGGTTTGAATACTTTCCGAATGCACTGTATGAAGGGTGCCTGTATCTTTGTAGTGACTGGGTGTATTGATACACCATCCAAAGTGTAATTAATAACTGCACCATGCTCAAAGGTATATTCAATGTCTGTTGTTTTTATACCCATTTACCAATTGGTGCCCTTTGCGAACCATTGGAAAACCTCATTGGTCTTTGTGGTTGAATCTGTGCTTGAAATCCACTGCTCGACTGAGGGAGCTTACAGATAATTGTATGTGTGGGGTACAGAGATGAGGTAGTCATTTAAAAAACTTGTTAAACACTATTATTGCACACAGAGTGAGTGCATGCAACTTATTATGTGACTTGTTAAGCACATTTTTAGTCCTGAACTTATTTAGGCTTGCCATAACAGAAGGGTTGAATACGTATTGACTCAAGACATTTCAGCTTTTCATTTTAAATTAATTTGTAAACATTTCTAAAAACATAATTCCACTTTGACATTATGGGGTGTGTAGATAGATCAGTGACACAAAATCTCAATTTAATAAATTTTAAATTCAGGTTGTAACACAACAAAATACCCCATAATACTTTCTGTGAATACTTTCTGAAGGCACTGTATGTATATTTATTAAGGTGAAATAATGTGTCGCTGGTGGTCAATCCCTGTACTCCATCCCAGATGGCCACATTAATGAGAGAGGGGGAGATGCCGGGCTTCATGCTTACCTAGATATCTTTTTCAGACTTCTAGGCTTATTATTCTTGGATGGTTTCAGAGGTAAGGACCTGGGAGGATGTGATCATGGTCAGGGAGAGAGGGAGGAGATAGGAGGAGAGAGGAGATGATGTGGGAATAGCAGGGGTATAATATAAAATCAAACACAAGTCAAGGTGAAGGAGAGGGAAGACAGTGAACTTCAAAACGTAAAGAACGCATAATGATAAAGAAAGCTTGTTTGACAAAAAATATATTAATATATATGGTAAAAGTGTGCTTATAAATAACTCAAATTGCAATGTGCAAAGACATGCTACAACACCAACCACTCAAAGGCAGCTGACCAGCCACTATGGCCGCTTCTCTCTCTCTCTCACCTCATGGTATGCGACAAGTGATCCAGTGTGACCTCAGCTGGGGAGGGCATCGTGGCCGTCGAGGTCGGGGAGGTACTCACAGAGGTCATGACCTCCAGCGTGGAACGTATGCTTGTCACTGATGGAGTGTCTGTGAGAGGCCCACATACTTTATCAACCTAAGAGAGAGGGATGGAGAGAAGGTTTGGAATAAGAAGAGGAGAGAAGAGGCGAGAGAGAGAGAGAGAGAGAGAGAGAGAGAGAGAGAGAGAGAGAGAGAGAGAGATAGAGAGTGATAGGGAGCGGGATAGGGAAGAAGAGATAGATATCGAGAGAGAGACTCTCGATCTAGATCTATCTCGAGAGCTCGTCGCTCTAGATATAGACGATCTCAGCAGCAGCTCTCGTCAGGTATACGACGTTCTGATTTTTCTAGAAGGAATTGCCACATCTTTTTGAAAAAGAGGGTGCCCATTACATCCCTAACAGAGTCACTCTACAGTTTGTGAGAACACAATGATAAGAAGCTTTTACAGATGTGCAGGGCTTATGCTGTGGAAATCATCAGCGACACAATGGAAATTATTCTTGTCTAAAACCAGAACGAACACAGAACTATGATACTGCACAGAGAAGAATGATCCACTCGCTAGACAACTGATATCAACAGGGGGCCAGTGGATATGCAGATGCTGCTATGGTGTTGCGTTTCTCTTTCCTTCCCTCTTATGACTAATTGTCCGGATGCTGGCGGGGGTGACGGAGAGAGAGAGAGAGCGAGAGAGAGAGAGAGAGAAAGAGAGAGAGAAAGGAGGAGTATGAGCTGACGTTAAAGACGTCAGCAACCGGTGGCCTGCCCAAAACGAAAAGCTGAGATGGTGTATTCTCTCCCTCTTTCTCTCTCGCTCTCTCTCATCCAGCCTTCTGTGGAGAGTAGCTGGGAGTGAGTTATAGGCCGATGTGACATGGATCCCATTTACCACTCCCACCCACACAGCTGTGCACAGGCTTTAAAGGCCCTCTAATGGAATTAGCTCATTTGGACCCTGGACAGTAAGTGGGGTGCTGTGAAACAGTGAAATATGGACGTTTTCAGAAAGCTCTGCCTAAGCTCTGAGTTAGGCAGCAGGCCCACATAAAGCTGGGACAAAACCACTGAGACCAACAGAGACACACTGCCTTCCCCAGAGATTAGACAGAAATCCAGCTCACTGACATTAAGGGTGTGTGTGTATTCATGTATATCACTTGTGTGCACATAATGAGAATGGGGAATCACCTCTTTTTATAAGAGGGAAGCTAAAGAGCAAGGGAATCTGCTTGCCACTGTCACCCCTATTAGCAACTGTTCACTGAAAGCTGGAGGCAAGACATACTCAAGTGTGTGTGTGTGTGTGTGTGTGTGTGTGTGTGTGTGTGTGTGTGTGTGTGTGTGTGTGTGTGTGTGTGTGTGTGTGTGTGTGTGTGTGTGTGTGTGTGTGTGTGTGTGTGTGTGTCTGTGTGTGTGTGTGTGTGTGTCAGGCTCATTGTAATAGCTGTAATGGAATAAATGGAACGGTATCAAATACATTAAACATATGTGAACCACGTTTGACTCCGTTCCATCAATTCCATTCCAGTCATTACAATGAGCCCGTCCTTCTATAGCTCCTCCCACCAGCCTCCACTGGTTTGTGTGTGTGTGTGTTCCTATAGAGGTTTATTTGTCCAGAGATTAGCCACAGAAATGTTCTCATCACTCTGTCCCAGGCCCTGCGTTTCAAAGCATTGTGGGAAGGGGTTGTCCAGTCAGCGTGAGGAGTCTTTGTCCAGAGTTGGATTTGCATTCTGGAGGGCAGGCCGTGGTCCGCCTACAGACACTCTCTGAGGGGGATTCACTGGTGCCCTAGACGGCTGGACAGGACCAGAGGCAACCCACTGAATGGCTGGCAGATCCTTTAGGAAGCCTCAAAACAACTCAATGCCAGACCAGAACACAAACACACAGTTTAAAACCCACAATTATGCGGGACAAAGAGTATGCTCATGCTAATAAAGTGAACTCTAACTCATCAAAAGACTGCCGGAGCTTGAGTGACATCACCAAAGCGCCCCTGTGTCCCGTCAATCAAGATCTCTTTAGAGCCTCTGCCACCCCCGTGCCCCAACCAAGCTCTGGCTTAGCTCCTCCAAAGCTTTCAGTATGGATTCTAAGGATTGATAAATCCTTTAAAACTCACTAATAATTAGCTAATGCAAGCGTTGCAGAGCATTTTCACTTAAATCAACTGGATGTATTCATTACGATTCTAGGATTCTTAATTACAATAGTAACTGCAACGCTACAGCAATACCTGGTGCAAGAGATGAAAATATTGCTGAAATGTGAGAGAATGTTAGGCACTATCTGTGTTGGGTGGGGTTTTCTGAAGTCTATCATCATTCCAGTATCTCTCCTCGCTAAGTGTTTTGGACACCTACTCTCCTCTCCACCTTGTTGCATTTTACCAGAGAGGGAGTGATTGGCAGGCTGTGGTGGGGGGAAGGGAGATGGAGAGGGAGGGAATGTTGTGTGTCTGCTCTGGCCTGCTGCTGCTCCTGTTGCGTCAGGCACCGAGATACACTTAACTAGATAGGCTAATGGATTGTTTGTATGGATGTGCTGAGGAGGCAACTCTCCCCATGCCAACTGGAAACATGGCCCAACAAACCACGTCACAGGAGGAAGACAAGGAGAGGAGAGAGGAAAAGAGAGAGCTAGGCCCACATCTCCTCCATCTGGTAGTCTGGTACTTTCATCGTGCATAAGGTAATACGATACTAGGCTGCTGTCTTCCATCTTACTGTAGGAGGAGGTTTAGCGCCACAGGAAAGACATGCAGCAGGACATCTAGAATGATAATCCCCCTCCATTATAAACGTTTATAAACACACCTGCGCACATGCATATGTGTGGAGATGGGAAACAGTGGAGGAGGAGCAGGATGAGGAAGAGGAGGAGGAGGAGGAAGAGGAGTTGAAAAGGAAGAGGTTTGTGAAGGTGACTGAATGAGTAATATGAAAAGAGTTGCCCACTCCTTCCCTTCCCATCTCTGGGTCCAGACCTCAAATGCCGGCCCTGGGGGTAACCTGAGTCCCAGCCATCCTAGCCATGTTGAACCAGTGAATGAGCAACACTTGATCCTGGGGGTGGCAGGCAGACCGTAAATACACTACTACAATGACAATGTCAGTAACAGAGAGGGGTGCTGATGGTATGGGGAGGGGTGCTGGCCCCCACAGACCCCCACTCCTGTCCCCCTAACACCTCTGTACAACATAAACAGGTATGTATTACATAGTTTAATCTTTCATGTCTCATTATCATAAAGACAATTATAATCATATTCATAACCACAATCTAATCAGGCCCACAGGTGACAACATTACCATAATCCTACTTATCATCGGAGCTGGAACTTAATATTCAAGCCTGTTAAACTAAATAACTCAGGAAAAACAGCTAGAATCAGATAGGTATCTATGTCTTTCTACACCACAGGTTCTCTTTTGTGTGAGCAAAGAGATAATATCCTGTCTGTCTTTCTAAGTAAAAAGTGTATTGTTTGTTTGGCTCACTGGGATACATTCAGCTTTGGTAGAATTTAGCAAATTCTCCCTACTCTCTTCTCTTGTCCCCTGCTTTACAAGTACCAAGAAACCTGCCAGCCTCCCATCTCCCAGCCCCTTGAGTCCAAAGCCAAGAGAGAGGGTCCATGCCAGCCTCATGCCCCCCAGCCAGGCAGCCACTCAGCCACAGAAGCCCACCGCAGAGCTGCACAGAAGAGTCTTGAGAGTTATTTTGTGGGTGTCATTAATAGAGAACCCAAAGACCTAAGAGAACAGGTTTTATATGACAGATGAGACCTAGCAAGATTTTTTTTTTTGTCCTGTGATGTAAATGAATGGTGTGAGGGATGGTCATGTGCCCAAGTTGTGTCATCATGGGCCTTAAGAGGTGTGTCATATCAGTACAGTCCTATGACAGGTGAAGTATGAGTGGTGGGCGAGGCACTGACTCACAATGGCGCTGATGCGTGGCCCATGCAGCTGTGCGTGCAGGATAGCGTCATTGACATGGTTCCTGATGCCCAGCAGAGCCAGCTCCAGGTCGTGGCCCCCAGCCAGGGCCCCTGTCAGCTCCTGCAGCAGGGCCACGTAGCGCCTCCAGGGCCCGTCCAGCTCCGAGAGCCCCACCAGGCAGCCCCGCATCACGTTCAGACACAGTCCTCCACACGGCCGGATCAGGGTCAGGCCCCTGCAGTGGGGGCAGTACTGCATCCTCACCAGAGCCCGCCCACACTCCCTGGCCAGCCCCGCCCACTCTGTGGCATTCAGCACCTCTGCCCCTATCACCAGCCCCCGGCTCAGTGCCCGTCCTGCGCTCAGAGCCCGGGTCAGCCCCTCGGCCAGGGCACGGGGGTGGGACCCAAATGGGTTGACATCCTGGCGTGTCATACGCAGACACTCGCTGTGCTCAGAGGAGGCCGGGGACGAGGCCAGCCCGGGGTTGACCAGACGGCGGTACACCAGCGGGAAGAGGTTGTCGTAGAAGCGGTGCACAGAGCGCTCCATGGAGTTGTTGCCGTCTCCTCCCAGGAAGACAGAGAGGTCGGAGAAGAGGTCTGCCACCAGGGGGCGAGCGTCCTGGGAGAGGGGCTCATACACACTGTCAAACAGAGCAGTGGTCAGGTTCAGATTGAAGGATAGCAGAGACTGGAACGTGTCTGTACAAAGAGAGAGAGAGAGAAAAGGAGAGACAGAGGTGAAAACACATTGTAAAAAGAAACATTCTACTCTTTTATGTTATGAAAGGAATAAGTGAGAGAAAGCTTTTCTTATTGTATGCATGTACCTGTGAAAGGCATGCTCATGTGTGTGTGTGTGTGTGTGTGTGTGTGTGTGTGTGTGTGTGTGTGTGTGTATGTGTGTGTGTGTGTGTGTGTGTGTGCGTGCGTGCGTGTCTGTGTGTGTGTATATAATATGATTGTAGAGGGGTGGGGGGTTCTGAGTCCAGTTGGGATGTCAATCTGATGGCATTCTGACAGATGGAAGAGAGACAGCAACTGGGAAACTGATACAGTACTAGACATACACACCCACAACACAGTCACCCAGAGTTCTCAGTAATGTCCCAAAGGAGTAATATTACTCATCACAGCTGTTGTGTTTGAGATGCATGCTATTGTTCCTGTCTTATTGCTTTCAGCGAGTAATTGTAGGGAAGACATTCTGTGTGTTGGATGATGTGTGTTCGGTGAGCTGCGTGTCAGTGTTCACAGAGAATGATAAGTTAATGTGTGTATGTGTGTGTTATGCAGACATATAGAGGGACTATCTACACACTGAGAGGTGAACACAGCAGTGAATGAGGACTTCTAGCCCCCTACATACCGACCCATAAACCAGAAATATTGTCATTGCTTTGTGATTATGGAAATGGACAGGTGACCAGACACTGAGTGGTTCCAATTAAAGAAGACCAATCACTCAGCCTTGGCTGGGAACCTCTGTGTCATGCACTTCCACTTGGCTGATAGCTGCTACTGGCCATCGCCAGCATGGAAGACAGACAGTAAAGCCTATGATGGGTGGACCTGTCGTGAGCTGTCAGTCTGTGAATTATTAAGGGCCCTAGATATGCAGTACAGTATACTGCCTAGTACAGCTTTCACTGGGTGAAAGTCCCCCCAACAATACAGGGACTGAGACGTTTTAACTGGAGAATTGGCTAATACTGCCATTAGTACATAGGCTAGGCCTATTCAAAGTGCTCAAACATAAAAATGGATAGCCTACACATACAGTACCAGTCAAAAGTTTGGACACACCTACTCATTCAAGGGTTATTCTTTATTTTTACTATTTTCTACATTGCAGAATAATAGTGAAGACATCAAAACTATTAAATAACACATATGGAATCATGTAGTAACCAAAAAAGTGTTAAACAAATCAAAATATATTTTATATTTGAGATTCTTCAAAGTAGCCACCCTTTGCCTTGATAACAGCTTTGCACACTCTGGGCATTCTCTCAACCAGCTTATGAGGTAGTCACCTGGAATGCATTTCAATTAACAGGTGTGCCTTGTTAAAAGTTAATTTGTGGAATTTATTTCGTTCTTAATGCATTTGAGCCAATCAGTTGTGTTATGACAAGGTAGGATCGGTATACAGAAGATAGCCCTATTTGGTAAAAGACCAAGTCCATATTATGGCAAGAACAGTTCAAATAAGCAAAGAGAAATTACAGTCCATCACTATTTTAAGACATGAAGGTCAGTCAATACGGAAAATGTCAAGAACTTTGAAAGTTTCTTCAAGTGCAGTCGCAAAAACCATCCAGCGCTATGATGAAACTGGCTCTCACGAGGACCGCCACAGGAAAGGAAGACCCAGAGTTACCTCTTCCGCAGAGGATAAGTTCATTAGAGTTACCAGCCTCAGAAATCGGCAATTAACTGCACCTCAGATTGCAGCCCAAATAAATGCTTCACAGAGTTCAAGTAACAGACACATCTCAACATCAACTGTTCAGAGGAGACTGCGTGAATCAGGCCTTCATGGTCGAATTGCCGCAAAGAAACCACTACTAAAGGACACCAGTAAGAAGAAGAGACTTTCTTGGGCCAAGAAACACGAGCAATGGACATTAGACCGGTGGAAAACTGTCCTTTGGTCTGATGAGTCCAAATTTGAGATTTTTGGTTCCAACCGCCGTGTCTTTGTGAGACGCAGAGTAGGTGAACATTCAGATGATCTCTGCATGTGTGGTTCCCACCGTGAAGGATGGAGGAGGAGGTGTGATGGTGTGGGGGTGCTTTGCTGGTGACACTGTCAGTGATTTATTTAGAATTCAATGCACACTTAACAAGCATGGCTACCACAGCATTCTGTAGCGATACGCCATCCCATCTGGTTTGTGCTTAGTGAGACTATCATTTGTTTTTCAACAGGACAATGAACCAAAACACACCTCCAGGCTGTGTAAGGGCTATTTGACCAAGAAGGAGAGTGAGGGAGTGCTGCATCAGATGACCTGGCCTCCACGATCACCCGACCTCAACCCAATTGAGATGGTTTCAAATCAAATCAAATCAAATGTTATTTGCCACATGTGCCGAATACAACAGGTGTAGACATTACGTGAAATGCTTACTTACAGCCCTTAACCAACAATGCATTTATTTTTTTATAAAAAAGTAAAATAAAACAACAACCAAAAAGTGTTGAGAAAAAAAGAGCAGAAGTAAAATAAAATAACAGTAGGGAGGCTATATACAGGGGGGTACCGGTGCAGAGTCAATGTGCGGGGGCACTGGCTAGTTGAGGTAGTTGAGGTAATATGTACATGTGGGTAGAGTTAAAGTGACTATACATAAATAATTAACAGAGTAGCAGCAGCGTAAAAATATGGGGTGGGGGTGGGGGGGGCAGTGCAAATAGTCTGGTTAGCCATGATTAGCTGTTCAGGAGTATTATTGCTTGGGGGTAGAAGCTGTTGAGAAGCCTTTTGGACCTAGACTTGGCGCTCCGATACCGCTTGCCGTGCGGTAGCAGAGAGAACAGTCTATGACTAGTGTGGCTGGAGTCTTTGACAATTTTGAGGGCCTTCCTCTGACACCGCCTGGTATAGAGGTCCTGGATGGCAGGAAGCTTGGCCCCAGTACATCACTGGGGCCAAGCTTCCTGCCATCCAGGACCTCTATACCAGGCGGTGTCAGAGGAAGGCCTTCAAAATTGTCAAAGACTCCAGGGATGAGTTTGGGATGAGTTGGACCGCAGAGTGAAGGAAAAGCAGCCAACAAGTACTCAGCATATGTGGGAACTCCTTCAAGACTGTTGGAAAAGCATTCCAGGTGACTACCTCATAAAGCTGGTTGAGAGAATGCCAAGAGTGTGCAAAGATGTCATCAAGGAAAAGGGTGGCTACTTTGAAGAATCTCAAATATAAAATGTATTTTGATTTGTTTAACACTTCTTTGGTAACTACATGATTCCATATGTGTTATTTCATAGTTTTGATGTCTTCACTATTATTCTTCAATGTAGAAAATAGTAAAAATAAAGGAAAACCCTTGAATGAGTAGGTGTGTCCAAACTTTTGACTGGTACTGTATATATTTTGTTTATAAACATACACTGAATATACAAAACATTAAGAACAAAATATTCCATGACATAGACTGACCAGGTGAATACAGGTGAAAGCTATGATCCCTTATTGATGTCACTTGTTTAATCCACTTCAATCAGTGTAGATAAAGGGGAGGAGACAGGTTAAAGAAGGATTTTAAGCCTTGAGGCAATTGAGACATGGATTGTGTATCTGTGCCACAGAGATGTTCACAAGTCTTTGAGGTAGAGTCCAATTCAAGTCTCAAGTTTTTAGGGCCTAGTCTAAGTCATGTCTCAAGTCTTTTAGGGCCAAGTCTAAGTCATGTCTCAAGTCCCTTTTGGCAATGGCTTTCTGCCTATAAACCTTGTAAATTATTTAAAGAGACTCCCTTGTTCATTAGTCCACACTTGAATGAAAGAAAGCACATCAGGCACTATTTAAATCAAAATACATTTCCTTTTAAAATGTAGACAGTTTACAATAATAAAAGTAATTGTACCAGATATGAAAAAAAGCAAACATAACATTTTAAAGTGCATTGTATTTTGTGGCAGACATTGTCTATATTTCACTTCATTCTGTCACACAAACAGAAAATCAGTAGGTGAGGGAAGATAAATGACAAGTATGAATGTAAACCAAAATGACTGACAACTGTTCAATAACTGCACTACTAAAGTGTCCTATATATCAAACGTAATGACCTTTATCCCTAAAATATACTTACTGACCTGGACACTTAACAACAGAAATTTCCTGTAACAAGTAGCAAATTACGTCCTGTGCCCTAAGACAGGGAACATTTCTGTTACAGACAGGTTACATTTCAGAAATATCAAGTTTGTCAGCATTCTTGCACTGAGCCTGTCACGATGAAGGCGAATGATGAGGCCTCCATGACTAAACACTATCTCCACTGGGGCACTAGTGGCAGGCACAGCCAACACTGTCATTGCTACCTGCTTTAGCCTTGGAAAGTCTTTTGCACGGATTCTCCAAAATTCCAAGCAATCAACTTCATTTTCATCAGAAGATACTTGAATGTAGCAAATAATCTCTGCTCTGACAGATGATTTTATGTCTCCTTTCTTCTTGCTGATCTTGTTGCGGTAGCCAGAGAAGAGTCTGGAGGTTTTGGCAGGTGGTTGTTCTTCTTCTTCTCCACTACTGCTCTCCGTAACGGTGACTTTCCGTGCCTCAACCAAAACAAGGTCTGAAATAAATTCATAAAATGATGTGTATGATCAAGAATATAACAGTATACATTATACATGAAAAAAAATACATTATTATTTGAATGCAAGTGACATAGAAAACATTGCATGTTGCAATGCATTGTACCTACCAATCAGACTCTCCTTCAATTCAGCTTTATCTTCATGTGGTATGAGGACATCATAATCAAGCCAGAACAGGCAGAAAGATGGGTCCAGCAGTGCAGCTATTATGTATACATTGTCACCAAATGGAAGTTTTGTTGCCTGTTCATCCGAGTGCTCCATTCTGACATTCACAAACACCCCCTGGAATCGGCGTTTGAGTGACTGCTGCAGTGCTTTTACTAGTGACCGTACAAAAGGAAGGGCAGCACTGATAGTCACCACTTTCTCCCCCTGAGTAAGGTCGGTGGCCTGGACAAAAGGGTCCAAAATGTCCACTAGCTCCAATAGCTGGCTCCATTCCCTTGGTGATAAGCAGAGCTCCTTGTGTCCTTGGGCCTCAAGTAGAGTATTGAGGCTTTGTTGATTCAGATTGGTGACTGCTTTAACAAGCCAGAGGAGGGAATTCCATCTGGTAGACACAGCAGCAGGGATACTACGATTGGCTCCGAACTCAGCTTCAAATGCTTCTTTCAGACCACAGCTAGTGTAGTAAGCTGCAAAGTTTGATTTTTGTTTCCTTTAGTCCATCTCTAATCACCAGTTGTAATGAATGGGAAA